CTTCGGTTTTATAAGACAGGGTTTTAGCGGTCTAAAGAACCCCGCAAGTAAACGAGCCCCGATTACAAAGTGTGAGAATGATTTGATTGATTCACCTGGGTACAACACGAGGCCATATATAGTCTCGACATAAGCCAGAAACCCAAGTGTTACGCGAATGTTCTGAGGGTCGCGAAGCGTCCCGAACAGAACCTTCCCGAATTCGGTAGAGGGAAATTCAATAGCCTAGAATCCGGTACATGTAACCTGGTTCAGTGCTATAATTATAATAATTTATAGAAATGCTACTAACCCAGAAAAAGTTGTCAGAATCCCAGCCACTAACCACTGGGATAAAAGGGCTTGTTTGTGTAGCGGGTGAGTGCGCCCATAACCCCCTAGGCCAACGTGCCTGTAACCCTTCCCTAGGATCAATCGGGGATCTCCAGTGGACCTCTGACACCCCCCCGCACTGGGATGCCCGAAGTGCACACACCGGGAATCGAACCCGAGACCTTCGCTCTGATACCATGTCAGAATCCCAGCCACTAACCACTGGGATAAAAGGGCTTGTTTGTGTAGCGGGTGAGTGCGCCCATAACCCCCCAGGCCAACGTGCCTGTAACCCTTCCCTAGGATCAATCGGGGATCTCCAGTGGACCTCTGACAAAAGTATAATAAAGGCAAGGCAAGCAATCATAGCGTGTCAAAATAGGAGCTAGAATCATGAGCCATAGCTAGGTAAACCCTAGCTAGGCAAGAGAGAAACAAGCAAAGGAGGGTTTGCACTAGCAAGAATGGGGATACAAATAGCAAACCCTAGAAGGGTTGTACTCGCTATAGAGCACCCCACTACAGGCTAGAACATAATATTCTGACACACCCCCATAGCCAAAGTGGGGTGTAATCAGCAGAGCAAGCAAAGCAGTACAAGCTCAGGGTGGATCACAATGTCACCACACATTCTGAGCACAAGTTCAAGAAGCAATAGTTTAAAGTTCACAATTATGAGCAAAGCTAGAGGTAGTCACAGAGGGCAAGTGAGGAGGAGGAGGGCTGGCGAGGGGAGAGAGGAGTGGAGGCGACGACTGAAGCTGCAGACACACGGGCAACAGACGGCTCTGGTGCAGCTCTAGTGGCTACCGGGAGCAAGGGCCCCGGAATACAGGAGTAACAGGCTCTGCGTCTGATCAGCAGCGACAGGAGCAACGGACCCACGGGCGACAGGTGCAACCGGCTCTCTGAGCTACCGGTGGCTATCAGAACCCCGGAATACAGGCGCTGCAGACGACACGACGGCTGCCTCCACCCAACCTCCTCCAACTGTCCCACACCCCCCAACACACACCCCCTGCTGCAACCCCTAACTCCACTCCCACGTCACCCCCCTAGCACCATTCCTTCGGCTCCCCACACACCCAACCCCCTCAGCGGCAGCTGCAGCAGTGGGAGACGGAGGAGGAGGAGGAGCAGGGGACGGCTCACACTCACGGCACCCCCATACCCTCCACCCTAACACAGGAACGCGGGCAGTAGCGGGGGTGGGGCGCCGGCAGAAGCTCGGGGGACGGACGAGGCGCGCGCACGGGCCTGCCGCAGGCCGGACGAGGCGCGCGCGGGCTGCCCGGGCCGCGCGCGGGCCTGGCGCAGCCCGTACGGGCCGCGCGCGGGCCTGGCGCAGGCCGTACGGGCCGCGCGCGGGCTGTACGGGCCGCGCGCGGGCCTGGCGCAGCCCGTACGGGCCGCGCGCGGGTCCCAGGGGCGCTTCGACGGGCGACGGGGGCGTTTCGACGGGCGACGGGGGGCGCTCCGACGGGCGACGGGGGCGCTTCGACGGGCGACGGGGGGGAGCGCTTCGACGGGCGACGGGGGGCGCTTCGACGGTGGGAAACCGCCGCGCGCCTCGGGGCGCACGGCGGGCAGAAAACCGCCGCGCGCCCCGAGCGCGCGGTGGGAAGAAAAAAAACGAACATCGCGCGCCACGGGACGCGCGACACACAGGAAGGCAGCGGAAGCAGGCGGGCCCACAGGCCAGGAGCGTAACCGCTCTGATAGCATGTCAAAATAGGAGCTAGAATCATGAGCCATAGCTAGGTAAACCCTAGCTAGGCAAGAGAGGAACAAGCAAAGGAGGGTTTGCACTAGCAAGAAACAGCAAACCCTAGAAGGGTTGTACTCGCTATAGAGCACCCCACTACAGGCTAGAACATAATATTCTGACATAGCGGGCATAAGCCGTCATATTCTCACGCCGACCATAGCCTCCAGAGACACGATGAAATTAACAAATTGTCCTTTTTGTCAAGTTGTTTTAACGTTATGATTAGTTTTAAGCTAGACTTAGAAGGTGCTTAGTGAGTAATATTCTTTTGCATAATTAAGCTTTTCATTTACGTTATAATAGCGGCGCGTAGTCGCCTATCTTCCGAGGCTCCAACCCCTTAACCAAAGAGAGATAATGACAAAGGGTCAGCGACACTGCCCTGTATAACATGCGTTTCTCATATGTTGGCCGCTACACCCCGTGTTTTCTGTTAAGCGGTACTCGTCTGGACAATCTGGGAGGGGAAGCATGCAAAAAGTTATATGGATGGTCCGAAAGTAAAAGGCGCCGCATTTGTTTTAATAAAAGATAACACGGTTTGTTAATTTGCCATATTTGTAACCACCAAAACTATAACGAATATACATTTCAATACTGTAGAGGCTGTTCCTAGCGAGGACAGCCGTGAACAGTTCGCGTTAGTGTGGCTCAGCCTACACTTTCGCACCAAACCAGCTCTGAGTCGCTCCGCACCAATCACGACACACCCAACCCTCGCTCGTCACAAGATTCTCGCCTAGCTAGTTTCCGCCCTATATTTACCCGCTTTCTTCATTGTTTTGTCATCCCGTAATTACGTTCTCTTTATAAAGTTTTCCGCGTACTCTCTTCAATACAACTCATAAAAAAAAAAACGTCCCGATGGTGTCTCGTCTAGATGGGGAAAATATGCCACTCGTAATCAACAAGGGTCTCAATAATATGTTTTGTAAAAATTAACGGGTACGGTCACAACAGAGGGTGTTCTCACGCATTTGATCCAACGTTTCACGAAATCAGTCACAATCAACAGGGAAAAAATAACGTGAATGGCCACAGATGAAACTCCTGCCCAAAAAAAGATAATACAAAAAAAACCTGGATGCATTTTGGATGAATCAACCCTAAACACAATGCGCCATGTGTTTAGGGTTTATCCATTCCCAAACCGCATCCAATTCTGATTGGGTTTTAGTTTTTATAGAGATTAGATGATTGGTTGCGGAGGAGCACGAAACTTGTAGAGTTTCAAGCATTTTTGGCGGGAGTTACATGTGTGACCATTCGCGTGATTTTTTACCTGTTGTTAGTGACTGAATCCGAGACCCCAGTTACCAAACCCGTCAGGAAACCCGATACAGTGACCGTACGCGTTAAATTTTTACCATTTCTATTATCGAGTCCCATGTAGGTTACTTGTCGCATATTTTTCCGTCTGTAGGTTACGCGCCCTCAAATCAATAATTCAGCTACACATGATGCCCGGTTGAGCCCCCCAACTTTGGCCTACCCCATGTGCGTATAAGTGATTCTGCATTTCGCGGTGGTTTCGTCAATTCGCATCGGGCAAAAAGGGCTTATATAAAATTTTTTTAACTCACCGTTGACTGTTTGACTGCAGTCTCATCAGTCAGACTTCCGTTTCTGTGGCTCTTATTGGTCGACGTGCTTGTAACGTAGTTCAACTTCGCGGCAAGAAACCCACGGGTGCAAGGTTTCTGGAATGTGCAAGGCAATTTCGCATGCACGGGTTGGGCATCGACTGTACCTCCACCACACCTAGTCAAACACACAGCGTAACGCTCATCGGTCCCCCACCGCGCTGTAAAGAGGCCTGGTGCATATAAACCTTACAGCAACCTTTCTAACCCAGGCATGATCCGATCGTAAGGAGGAATGACAGTTCACACAAACCTAAGGGCGCGTGTCTTTTGGTGTTGAAGTTCAAAAAAAGGTCGAACTTTTGCTAGTAACCATCTTCGCCAATTTCGTTAAGAGCTGTTGACGACGATCGTGTGTCCAAGCTCAAAGTTGCCGAAACAGAAGGACACTGAACTAGGGTCGACCTCGCATTCGACTATCCCCGAGCACTTTTCTCCAATCGTGTGTTCTTCTGCCCACGCACGAAGAAGCTGCGAGCTTCACGATGGTTACGAACAACGTCGCGCCAGGTTACCAAAGCTGAAAGTGTTAGCGAACTCCACTGTATAGACAGGGTAACATACGAAAGCTGGGCGCGACTCGGGTTTTACTGTACAAATTCGACCTCTGAAAGTCGAGCATTTCTTGTGCCATGTACTCCTCGTCAAGGTGAACACGCGACTCGACAAATGAATGACGAGATAGTCGACTACTGGTCGACCTGTGTTCATTTGCAAAAATCCGACCTAAAAACTTGAACTTTGGCCTAGATTTCAAAAGACACGCGCCGTAATAATAAATCACCCGCTATTCAGCGCAAAGCCTTGGTCACATTCCTTGCGCATTCCACTGACTTGATCGCGTTCCTCGTAGCGCATTCTGCGGGACCGTTGGACTCCCACTGAGAGCGCTCAAACCTCGTCTATAAACACCTGCAAGGGCAGCCATGGAATCATCTCTTCCACCGCCTCTGTGCCATATCCTCTTGCTGTATGATAGAATCACTACGAGTCGTAGCTCACGATTAATTATAGTACCCGTATCAGCGATTACCATCGTCGTGTTGTACCATCACAACAGCTGGCAACATCAATCCGAACCAGCTTCTCCTGACATTGCGCAACTGCCCGTGCCTCACGCGAGTCACCTGGGAGTGCCGCCGCGTCCTGCAGCGGACAATCACCAAATGACGCGGCACGAGCTGACACAAGTCTAACCCAGCGGACGCGGCACAATTTCTACCCAGCATCATACGCGACACAAGATTAGTACCCAGCTGGCGCGGCAGCTGACCGCCATGGCCACTCGGCAGCTGCTTCTGCTCGTCCTTGCCATCATCTGCGGTGAGTCGTTTCTTGCTCCTTTGAATTCGGCTGGCTTTTGCTCGCAATAACAGAAACTTGCACGCTGTGTCACCTTCCTCTCACCCCGCTGTTCCCTCTTACCCCTCTTGTAACACCTCGCTACCCACTGGGTCAAAACGAGGGTTATATTTGAGGCGCAGCGAAGGCACTCAACCCTTACGTGTACGCCCTACAGGCGTTACACCTCTGTTCCCTCTCACCCCTCTGTTCCCTCTCACCCCTCTGCTCCCTCTCACCCCTCCGCTCCCTCTCACCCCTCTGCTCCCTCTCACCCCTCTGCTCCCTCTCACCCCTCTGCTCCCTCTCACCCCTCCGCTCCCTCTCACCCCTCCGCTCCCTCTCACCCCTCCGCTCCCTCTCACCCCTCCGCTCCCTCTCACCCCTCCGCTCCCTCTCACCCCTCCGCTCCCTCTCACCCCTCCGCTCCCTCTCACCCCTCCGCTCCCTCTCACCCCTCCGCTCCCTCTCACCCCTCTGCCCCCTCTACGCACAGCGGCCGCCACGGCTCACGCAGCCGCAGGCGAGCACGCAGATTGCCTGAACGCGTGCACGCGAGAGGCCGGCGCGGGAAGCGTGGAGAATGCAGGCATGCAGGCGAGGAGCCTCAAAAGCGAGAGCACGGCGAGAGGCAGGAACGCGAGCATGCGGGTGGGGGTGGGGGTGGGGGTGGGGGTGGGGAGCGACAGCACGGGTGGGAGAGTGGAGGCGAGGGTGCAGGTGGAGACGCAGATCACGGTGTCAGGCGCCAGCCTTCCTGTCAGCTTCGACGCCCTCTGCTGCTTCACCCTCCCCAAGGCAGTTACCAAGGCACTCAACGCGAGGCGGGACGTGCAGGTGTGGTGGCACGGGTTCCCGGGCGGCAGGTCCAAGGCGAGTGCGGGTGGCAGCAATGGCGGCAGCGGCAGCAAGGATGGCAGCGGCAGCAGCGGCAGCCAGGGACGCGGAGGTGGTTCGGGTGGGAAGGTTGCGAGCACGGAGGGGCAGGCAGGAGGTGCGGCGTGCAAGCAGGTGCAGTTCTTTGCTAACCCCGCCTGCAAGGGCAAGGCGCTGGATGAGGTGCTGCAGCCGCAATACGCCGGCCTGCGCAAATTCTTCAACGTGCCCAGGTGGGTCGTGGGGGCACGTGGGGGTGGTGTGTGGGTGGGTCGTGGGGGCGCGTGTGGGTGGTGTGCCCAGGTAAGTGAGCAATTGTCCTCCGCCACTGTCGTGAGCCACTGTCGTGAGCCACTGTCGTTCTCAACGCCTGATCTGATTGTGTTCCCCACGTTCTTGCAGTAAGAAGAAGATCTCCCAATGGGCTTCTGTTTCCTGCAAGCCTGGTGCGTCCCTTGCCTCCTTTCGTGCTTCCAGTCACCTTTCCACACTGCCTCTCCTGCACTTCCCAGTCACCTTCCCAGTCACCGTACCGCACACATCTCTTGCATTTCCTCCATGAGAACCAAGTCTTGCATGTTTAGCATGAAAGAGTGTCTGCCGAGAATATGCTTTCACCGGCAGCGCTGAGAACACAAGAGTGCGCTGCACCTGCACGCACGAATCTCTCCTTCCCCACATGGCAGACGTGACCTGCCTGCATGCCACGTGTCCAGCCAACTCCACATGCATCCCAACGAGTGACAGCAAGGGCATCACATGTGCATGCCACCAGGGCTTCGCTTCTGTCAATGGCACCTGCCTAGGTACGCTGCCAGTGATGCTATGGGCACTAGCGTTTGCCACGGTACGCTGCTACTGAAACCATCCTTCTCTCCTCTTATCTCATGCGCTTTTTGCCATCATCGCCTGGACCTAACCATGTTATTTGGGGATGATGATGTGAGGCCAAGCCAATGTAAAGGGGTGTTGCTAGGCAGCTGGTTCTTGAAATCTATTGCACCACAATTCTTCGTTCTTGCTTGCTTGCCTTGTTTTGTTACTGCTGATTGTTTTTCTCACTCCCAAACTCATCTCAGCTCAACCAAACACACCTTTTCTCTTGTCGCTTGCGTCACAGGCAAATGCTCTTTGATAGAGTGTGGCGCCAACGCCGCTTGCAGCGTGGATAAGACAGGGAAGGCAACCTGTTCGTGTGACACGGGCTTTGAAATGCTTGCCAATGGCACTTGTGCTGGTGAGGCGTGATGCTTCGAAACCCAAAACCTGGCTTCCAGTGGTTTGTTATTGTTGCCTCGCTTTTCTGCTCCCAAAATCTATCCCAATGCAGAGTTTTTCATGCTGCTTCAGTGCAGTGCTTGTTGCTGTTGACTCATTTTCGCGTTCCCAAGCTCAACTCAGCTCAACCAAACACACCTTTTCTCTTGTCGCTTGCGTCACAGGCAAATGCTCTTTGATAGAGTGTGGCGCCAACGCCGCTTGCAGCGTGGATAAGACAGGGAAGGCAACCTGTTCGTGTGACACGGGCTTTGAAATGCTTGCCAATGGCACTTGTGCTGGTGAGTCGTGATGCTTCGAAACCCAAAACCTGGCTTCCAGTGGTTTGTTATTGTTGCCTCGGTTTTCCGCTCCCAAAATCTATCCCAATACAGAGTTTTTCATGCTGCTTCTGTGCAGTGCTTGTTGCTGTTGACTCATTTTTGTGTTCCCAAGCTCAATTCAGCTCAACCAAACACACCTTTTCTCTTGTCGCTTGCGTCACAGGCAAATGCTCTTTGATAGAGTGTGGCGCCAACGCCGCTTGCAGCGTGGATAAGACAGGGAAGGCAACCTGTTCGTGTGACACGGGCTTTGAAATGCTTGCCAATGGCACTTGTGCTGGTGAGGCGTGATGCTTCGAAACCCAAAACCTGGCTTCCAGTGGTTTGTTATTGTTGCCTCGGTTTTCCGCTCCCAAAATCTATCCCAATGCAGAGTTCTTCATGCTGCTTCTGTGCAGTGCTTGTTGCTGTTGACTCATTTTTGTGTTCCCAAGCTCAATTCAGCTCAACCAAACACACCTTTTCTCTTGTCGCTTGCGTCACAGGCAAATGCTCTTTGATAGAGTGTGGCGCCAACGCCGCTTGCAGCGTGGATAAGACAGGGAAGGCAACCTGTTCGTGTGACACGGGCTTTGAAATGCTTGCCAATGGCACTTGTGCTGGTGGGTCGTGATGCTTCGAAACCCAAAACCTGGCTTCCAGTGGTTTGTTATTGTTGCCTCGGTTTTCCGCTCCCAAAATCTATCCCAATGCAGAGTTTTTCATGCTGCTTCTGTGCAGTGCTTGTTGCTGTTGACTCATTTTTGTGTTCGCAAGCTCAATTCAGCTCAACCAAACACACCTTTTCTCTTGTCGCTTGCGTCACAGGCAAATGCTCTTTGATAGAGTGTGGCGCCAACGCCGCTTGCAGCGTGGATAAGACAGGGAAGGCAACCTGTTCGTGTGACACGGGCTTTGAAATGCTTGCCAATGGCACTTGTGCTGGTGAGGCGTGATGCTTCGAAACCCAAAACCTGGCTTCCAGTGGTTTGTTATTGTTGCCTCGGTTTTCCGCTCCCAAAATCTATCCCAATGCAGAGTTTTTCATGCTGCTTCAGTGCAGTGCTTGTTGCTGTTGACTCATTTTCGCGTTCCCAAGCTCAACTCAGCTCAACCAAACACACCTTTTCTCTTGTCGCTTGCGTCACAGGCAAATGCTCTTTGATAGAGTGTGGCGCCAACGCCGCTTGCAGCGTGGATAAGACAGGGAAGGCAACCTGTTCGTGTGACACGGGCTTTGAAATGCTTGCCAATGGCACTTGTGCTGGTGGGTCGTCATGCTTCGAAACCCAAAACCTGGCTTCCAGTGGTTTGTTATTGTTGCCTCGGTTTTCCGCTCCCAAAATCTATCCCAATGCAGAGTTTTTCATGCTGCTTCTGTGCAGTGCTTGTTGCTGTTGACTCATTTTTGTGTTCGCAAGCTCAATTCAGCTCAACCAAACACACCTTTTCTCTTGTCGCTTGCGTCACAGGCAAATGCTCTTTGATAGAGTGTGGCGCCAACGCCGCTTGCAGCGTGGATAAGACAGGGAAGGCAACCTGTTCGTGTGACACGGGCTTTGAAATGCTTGCCAATGGCACTTGTGCTGGTGAGTCGTGATGCTTCGAAACCCAAAACCTGGCTTCCAGTGGTTTGTTATTGTTGCCTCGGTTTTCTGCTCCCAAAATCTATCCCAATGCAGAGTTTTTCATGCTGATTCTGTGCACTGTTTTTTGCTGTTGACTCATTTTTGCGTTCCCAAGCTCAATTCAGCTCAACCAAACACACCTTTTCTCTTGTCGCTTGCGTCACAGGCAAATGCTCTTTGATAGAGTGTGGCGCCAACGCCGCTTGCAGCGTGGATAAGACAGGGAAGGCAACCTGTTCGTGTGACACGGGCTTTGAAATGCTTGCCAATGGCACTTGTGCTGGTGAGGCGTGATGCTTCGAAACCCAAAACCTGGCTTCCAGTGGTTTGTTATTGTTGCCTCGCTTTTCTGCTCCCAAAATCTATCCCAATGCAGAGTTTTCCATGCTGCTTCAGTGCAGTGCTTGTTGCTGTTGACTCATTTTTGCGTTCCCAAGCTCAACTCAGCTCAACCAAACACACCTTTTCTCTTGTCGCTTGCGTCACAGGCAAATGCTCTTTGATAGAGTGTGGCGCCAACGCCGCTTGCAGCGTGGATAAGACAGGGAAGGCAACCTGTTCGTGTGACACGGGCTTTGAAATGCTTGCCAATGGCACTTGTGCTGGTGAGTCGTGATGCTTCGAAACCCAAAACCTGGCTTCCAGTGGTTTGTTATTGTTGCCTCGGTTTTCCGCTCCCAAAATCTATCCCAATGCAGAGTTTTTCATGCTGCTTCTGTGCAGTGCTTGTTGCTGTTGACTCATTTTTGTGTTCCCAAGCTCAATTCAGCTCAACCAAACACACCTTTTCTCTTGTCGCTTGCGTCACAGGCAAATGCTCTTTGATAGAGTGTGGCGCCAACGCCGCTTGCAGCGTGGATAAGACAGGGAAGGCAACCTGTTCGTGTGACACGGGCTTTGAAATGCTTGCCAATGGCACTTGTGCTGGTGAGGCGTGATGCTTCGAAACCCAAAACCTGGCTTCCAGTGGTTTGTTATTGTTGCCTCGCTTTTCTGCTCCCAAAATCTATCCCAATGCAGAGTTTTTCATGCTGCTTCAGTGCAGTGCTTGTTGCTGTTGACTCATTTTTGCGTTCCCAAGCTCAACTCAGCTCAACCAAACACACCTTTTCTCTTGTCGCTTGCGTCACAGGCAAATGCTCTTTGATAGAGTGTGGCGCCAACGCCGCTTGCAGCGTGGATAAGACAGGGAAGGCAACCTGTTCGTGTGACACGGGCTTTGAAATGCTTGCCAATGGCACTTGTGCTGGTGAGTCGTGATGCTTCGAAACCCAAAACCTGGCTTCCAGTGGTTTGTTATTGTTGCCTCGGTTTTCCGCTCCCAAAATCTATCCCAATGCAGAGTTTTTCATGCTGCTTCAGTGCAGTGCTTGTTGCTGTTGACTCATTTTTGTGTTCCCAAGCTCAATTCAGCTCAACCAAACACACCTTTTCTCTTGTCGCTTGCGTCACAGGCAAATGCTCTTTGATAGAGTGTGGCGCCAACGCCGCTTGCAGCGTGGATAAGACAGGGAAGGCAACCTGTTCGTGTGACACGGGCTTTGAAATGCTTGCCAATGGCACTTGTGCTGGTGAGGCGTGATGCTTCGAAACCCAAAACCTGGCTTCCAGTGGTTTGTTATTGTTGCCTCGGTTTTCCGCTCCCAAAATCTATCCCAATGCAGAGTTTTTCATGCTGATTCTGTGCACTGTTTGTTGCTGTTGACTCATTTTTGCGTTCCCAAGCTCAACTCAGCTCAACCAAACACACCTTTTCTCTTGTCGCTTGCGTCACAGGCAAATGCTCTTTGATAGAGTGTGGCGCCAACGCCGCTTGCAGCGTGGATAAGACAGGGAAGGCAACCTGTTCGTGTGACACGGGCTTTGAAATGCTTGCCAATGGCACTTGTGCTGGTGAGGCGTGATGCTTCGAAACCCAAAACCTGGCTTCCAGTGGTTTGTTATTGTTGCCTCGGTTTTCCGCTCCCAAAATCTATCCCAATGCAGAGTTTTTCATGCTGCTTCTGTGCAGTGCTTGTTGCTGTTGACTCATTTTTGCGTTCCCAAGCTCAACTCAGCTCAACCAAACACACCTTTTCTCTTGTCGCTTGCGTCACAGGCAAATGCTCTTTGATAGAGTGTGGCGCCAACGCCGCTTGCAGCGTGGATAAGACAGGGAAGGCAACCTGTTCGTGTGACACGGGCTTTGAAATGCTTG